TTTACTGAACGCTTAAACCGATAATCCTCTGTAAACTTAACTTTTATAATCGTGTAAAGCCAACAAAAAAAGATGCGCCGAAAAGTATCTTATCGGAGGTGTTTTTTTAGAAATTAAAATTGCGAGATATTTGAATGTTTAATTATTTGATTTAATTAATAATCTGCGAGTTGTTACAACTTTTAGAAACATTGGGTTTATTGATCCAGTTGTCGTATAAATATCTTGTACGATGTCGAATCGGAAACGGTACTGATATGAGCGATTAAGGCGTGGCATTTTCGCAAAGAAGTCGAGAAAGATTAGTTCCTCGCCGCGGTTTTCTATTTCATTTTCTGAATTGAAAATCTTTTAATGGGTACATTGTTCATGTCTCAATTCAAGATACGATACGTTATGTAGGTAAATACCTAAATGTGGAGCAAAAAAAAAACCTTTCAATTTCTCGACGCAAAATTCTTGGAAAAGAATGTAAAATATACAAATTATAAAACTAGAAAAATAGAACTATAAAGATACATAAAACAATAACAAATACATGTTAAAAATATTTTTATAACAAATTATATTTATAGGCTTTTATATTGTCTTCAAAATATCGTTACAGACGAACTTTGCAATCAAAAAATCTCAAGATCAGTGATATTTTGATTTTAAAAAAATAATCTTAATAACAATCTCAAAGCAAAATACGAGTTCTCAAAACTGGTTACACCGGTTTACAATCTCTATCTCATCCTAATTCTTTTATATATTCACAATCTTCAAATTTTCCAATCTTCGTACAAACGTATAGGACCTAGAAAAGTATAGAATAAGAAATCGTAACAGAGTCTCGCTGTTTTCAAATCGGTTCTCCACAATCTTGTTTTTTTTAAGATATTGACTACGTTTATACATAGGTTTAATAACATCCGTAATTACAATTAAATTAGCCAATAATGGAATGACTGTGATTGGTCAGTTTCATAATTACGGATGTTATTAAATGAGTGTAAACGTAATCATTATTTCTGTAAATTCAACAATGTATTCCATAGTTATTTCTCTGCAGAAAGAAAGCACGTAGAGAACAGCAGTGCCCTTTGATCGGTTCATATCTCGAGTGATTCACTTGTTTGATCTAATAGACGGGTCATTACACTTAGTTTTAATAGATTACATATTGACAGATTGCACTATTCTATGACACATAGTCTACAATAAGCCGTAAGAAATTGACCAGTTACAGTTGAATGTGATTAGTCGACTATAATCAATTTCTTATGGTTTAAGAAGAAGTAATGGCTTATTGTAGAAAGTCTCGCTGAGGAAAAAATTTCTTATCTGGATGCTAATCCTACGCTATAATGTATAAATTCTATTTGCAAATGTGGGGGTCGCAAATTATTTGCAGATGTAACAAATATTTATTCTTTTTCTCGTAACAAAAATTATTTACAATAAATGCAAAATATTTGTCAAATATGCAAATTTGTTCGCTATAAATATGAAACAAATTTGACAATTCAATTTTTTAATCCATTTCGCATTCATAGCAATTTTTTTCCCTGTGCTATTAAATTTCATCAACGCTTCGAAGTTGCGAACACGTAAAGAGCTTCTTTTGGATTATATGTTGAAATATTCTTTTTTTTTTGCAGTATAGCGCTACATAGTATCATGTACTTTCCTGTTTATCGTTGCGACATGTGTAAAACTT